TAGCCCTCGTGTAGCTTTACGCGAAATTCGTAACAAACGAACAATGTATGATGGTTTGTTGTTCAAGTCATATTTCAAGTGTAGATAGAGTTTTAGCACTGAAGTCTAAAGTTCTAAACGACATGGCAATTGGGAACGGTCAAAGTGTAAATTCTTGGAATTTCAAGATAAAATATCAGTTTCAAAAAAAAAAAAAAGTGAAAGACATCTGAATGTTTACCTTTTCGGAAGCTGGGCCACCAGCCAAGACTAACATCTTAATATACATTAGACACTTGGGAGACATCTGTTTGCGACAGGAAGATTGTAGAACCTAATTCAAAGATAAAGGTGAAATATATTTTAAGATAATACATATATTTCGATCGTTATTAATAGATGTGGAAATCTTAGGTAAAAGCCCAAATAATTTATTTTATAGTTTTACTGTTAGAAGGAAAGCAGGACACCAATAAGCATATAGATAGATAATACAAATTGATAAGAAAATTTTATTTCTTTGATGTTATATTTTAATCAAAACTTAAACAGAGCATTTTCATTATTTCCAACTAATTTACCATTATCTTAGCCCTAATGCACGCTCAATAGTCAATTATTAGCTTAGACAAAGCAATAGATCTATTAAATCATAGATTTTGTTTTTGTTAATTACCCTTCGAGGTAAAATTTGTCGAACGGTTTTGATCCATTCTTTTGACGTCATTGCACGAGGAAGTTGTCCCTCCATTTCAAGAACTTGCTGAATTTTTTCTCCTAAGACATCACATAAATTGTAAACAATATTTACCTTTAGCTGAAATTACAAAAGAAACTTGAGCTCAAAAAGTCCACGTACTTATCCATGCTTAGAAATTCAATTATACTTCGACCTATATAAATTCTCCCATGCAGTTTTGTACGAATAATTTTTATACAACACATGATATTCAAGATGAAACAATGAAGAACAAAATTGTTGATAATTAAACACTGAGAGGAAAAGAAACTACTAAGCACTACAATATCATCTATTTTGCTTTTTTTGAAATATCTAATAAGATCAGTTCATTAACCTTGTGTAAACATTCCATGAGAAATGGCTCAAAAAAAACCTCTCTTGAAGAGTTTTAGTCACGTGATTCCTGGGATATTCCTGAATTATTCATTGATCTTGAAAAAGCTACAGTCTATGAGAAGACTCTGACTGTCTTACAAAAATATTTTCATAATTGTATTTAATTACATATCACAGAATCAGATTGTATAAATATTTGATTTTATTTATCCCAATGATTGGTCTTATTTTCAAGTAACCAATCAAAAAAGAGAAACAGTTGTCTGTTTGATTTTTTTATTTCATCTCTTTCTACAAATACTTATTTCGTGTAGCTGTGAGTCTTAACAAAAAAAAGAGTTAAATTTTGATGGTTTTCCTTCTCAAAGTCGCTTTTTTTTAATTATGATATATATGAAGATTTATTACAGTAATAAAAGTTACGTAAATCTTTCAAAAATACTTTCAGCTTACCCTAGTTTTAATAGTTACATTGCAACACACAAGACTTAATTTATACCTAGAGCGATGAACTTTTCTCCTTTCAATGTGAAAAGCTCTTTTAGTGTTTCTTTAGGAGAAAGAAGTTCTCCCTCCATCTTCTGCAACTGCTCCTGAATGGCACTTTCTGGGAAAAAAGTAAAGTCTTTGTTTTATACCTTACAAACGTACTTGCACTACTGAATACAAAATCTGAAAATCTCATCTAGTATGTCATTTGAACTTAAATTTAAATCAAATACAAATCTGTAACCTAGAAATCTTAATCCATCTGGTCATTTAAACTTGAAACTTAAAACTATAGGTCTGAACAGTTATTTTAACAAGTAATTTAGAATCTAAATCAAGATGATCTTCTGAATTTGTGACCAAGAAACCTAGATCCAGCTGGTCATTTGAAACTATAACCTAGTAATTATAATATTTTGCCACTTGTGTATAAAGTTAGAATCATAAA